GAGGGATTTCTCGAGAGGGTTGTGCCACACAGATGTTTTTCTTCACATTGTTTGGAATAAGTGAGTGTTGCCTCTTGGCAGCCATGGCCTTTGACCGCTGCATGGCCATATGCTCCCCACTCCACTATGCAACAAGAATGAGTCGTGGGGTATGTGCCCATTTGGCAATGGTTTCATGGGGAATGGGATGCATAGTAGGGTTGGGACAGACCAATTTTATTTTTTCTTTGGACTTCTGTGGACCCTGTGAGATAGACCACTTCTTCTGTGACCTTCCACCTCTCCTGGCACTTGCTTGTGGAGATACATCCCATAACGAGGCTGCAGTTTTTGTGGCAGCAATCCTCTGCATATCCAGTCCATTTTTACTGATCATTTCTTCCTATGTCAGAATTCTGATTGCTGTGCTGGTGATGCCTTCACCTGAGGGACGCCATAAAGCTCTGTCAACCTGTTCTTCCCATCTACTTGTAGTCACACTCTTCTATGGCTCAGGGTCTATTGCCTACTTGAGGCCCAAGGCGAGCCACTCACCAGGAACAGATAAATTCTTGGCCCTCTTCTATACAGCAGTGACATCCATGCTCAACCCTATCATCTATAGTTTACGGAACAAAGAAGTCAAAATAGCGCTGAGGAGAACTTTGGGCCTGAGAAATACTCTAACAATGAATAGGTAACAGTACCATGCAATTCTGTTCACTAACAAAAATGCACAAGGAGTCAGAGTAAACAAACAAATATTGGTATATTTTTCTATCTGGCTTATATTGAGTATCCTTCTAATTTTGAAGGTACCTCTGTATTAGTTTGGCCAGTCGCCAGGCAGATACTATAGGCGAGACTACCAGACCAGGTATCTCTACTACCCCAGAGAATTCTGGAGAGAGGGAGGTAAAGTCTGATCTCGAGGGAGATGCTGTATAGTGGCTGAGAAAGCAAGAGGTCTGGGCATCACCAAATAAGCCAAGAGTTCATGGAGATACACAGAAAGTAGACATGGGTTAAAAATTAAGAGAGAGCTAGAAAGTAAAGAAGCATAAGCCATCAACCAAATAGTTTATAATTATTATAAGTCTCTCTGTGTTTACTTGGGGCTAAACAGCTGTGGGACAAGGTGGGACACAAATACCCCTACAGTCAAATACTAAGGAATACAAGTAAAAAGTCCAATACAGTAGAGAGTATTCTATTATGTTTAGGGTTCAGGATGACAATCTCAATTAACTAGTTACATATCAGAAGTCTTGCAAATCCTAGCCCCTGATGCCCCTATGACTTCTGCTTTCTATCCAAACATATCTCACATGACTCTTTATTAAATAGTAACTGTATGCATGGTCTTATTTCAGTCTATATCTCTATTTTTTTCTATTTTTATGGTACCATATAGTAAATGTCCCAGAATTCTTTCGAAATTATATATACCAAAATGTGTAAGCATTATTATACACTGAACTTTTAATAGTTGAAACTATTTACTTTAAATATTAAACAAAACATGAGAAATATTTTCAGGAGTTTTCACATGTTAAAAAATATCACTACTTTGGAGTCCACAGGCCAGTTAGGACAGGGAAGCAGGTCATTTAACTGCATGTATTCACCTCTCTCCACT